ATTATATTATTATATTAATAATAATTAAATTGATAGTATCCAAAAACTCTGTCAGATGCTGTGATAATATTCGACAATCTTAATATTCTTGTCTTCGTCACACACGAACAAACATACGAAGTGGTATGAAATCCGAGGAGAAAAATATCGCGATACAAATGCATCATCAAATGATCATGAACACAGATCTGCGTACGTCGTCACCAACTTCACCGTTCCGACCAACCTTTTTCTGGACGGCGTACCACTGAGGTTTGTGAAGGGGTTTCCAGCCCCGGGATTGCGTCTCGGTCACGTTGGAATGCATCAGTCCCCGCGTGCCGAGACATCCCGCATACTTGCTCAACGTCGACTGATTCTGCACAGACAGTGAGTCAGTTAGTATTCAGCAGCTATTGCTGCCTCGTGAAATCTTCCACGATGTATAGTTGTCTCTCGTAAATTTTCTCGCGAGTAAAATTCCGTGGCGATTCTCTAATTTTGTTTTCTAGTAAAATCTCTTCAAAAAAACAAAAATTTGTCAGGAATACATTACTCTAGGTTCATTGGATAGTTTCAGTTAAAATAGGTTAACATTACACTGTGATAAAAAGTTCACGTTAAGACTAAATTTAAGACTACTTTTGTTTCTGACAGTGGACCCCTGGTACATACAAGACTGACATTTATACTGATATATACTATTATATATATATAGCTCTGTGTGAGAGCGGTATATATTTATATATATCCGATATATATATACTAGACCAACATATATACTGATATATACTATCATATATATATATATATATATATCGATATTATGTGGCATGGCACAGACTTACCGCCCAGTCTCCTGTGAGGATGTCGGCATGTGAGAAGTAGTCGCTAGCGGCAACCGCATCGGTGATGCTGCCGCAGAACGACAGGTAGTTGTGATGCAGGTAGAGGTTGAAGAAGTCGGGGGACATGTGACTCTTCTCTAGGACCTCCTAAACATTCGCGTCTGACGGAGCGCGTTTGCGTCTGACAGAGCATATACACGGGCATGTTAACAACAGAACAGAGCACGTTTGCCTCTGATGGAGCACATACACAGGTGCGTTAACAACAGGACAGAGCACGTTCGCGTCTGACGTAGCGCGTTCCTCTCACAGGCGGCTCGGCTACAACTACAGCGACGACGGCGCCGTCGAGAAGCAGGACAAGTTTCTCGCGCGCATGTCCGGACTCGTGCGTCTCTACGCGGCCATGCTGACGACACGCCCCCTGGCGGCCGGCGCGGCGCACCCGCACGGCGCGCGCCACGGCTGGGCGTGGCTGTCACGCACGCTCAACCTGGAGCCGCGGCCCGACGTCACGGCGACGCTGATCTACGATTTCCTGCAGGTGTGTGCGTGCGTTAGATTGTCTAGCAGCCAGTGTGCGCTGACGGGTTATATTCATAAATAAAGTAATATTGTAAAATAAAATTAATAAAAATAATAATATTAAAAATAATAAAATAGTAGATAGTAATATCTAAGAGTAAAGTGCGGCAGTTGAAGCGAGGCTTTCTCGTGGTTTTTCCAACCGTTAAAAATCGATTTCCCCATTTTTGTTTCGTTCGCCTCCTGCGGGAGATCTCACCTACTTTAGATGAAAACCTTTCACGCAGTTTTACGGGTGAAATAATTAGAAGGCCCTGCAGTTAAATGTCCCCGGTTCCATCTCTCGCCATGTTAAGACTAATGTCGAGTCTAACTTTAGCTTACTCTACTTTAGATGAAGGCTTTTAAAGGTAAAACCCTCATAAAATCACCCCTGTGTGTGTTGGATCACTCACGGGTGAAATAATCAAAAGACTGCTGCAGTTGAAAATCAATTTTTTAAATTTATAATTTTTTTTCCGAGTTTTTTCTCTGAAGGTTGTCTATTTTAGATGAAAACCTTTTACACAGATTCACGCGTAAAATAATTAAGACACCCAACCGATAAACGATCAATTTTTAATTTTTCCCCGTTTCCATCTGCTGCTGCAGTTAAAAATAATAAAGAAAAGTTTTCCTTATATCTCTCTCTCTCTCTCTTTAAAGTTCTAAGCGATCAATTTTAAATTTCTCCCCATAAATTCTTCCCTCTCTCCGTCTCTCTCGCAGGTTTCCGGCCACACACTCATGAAGCTGTACGGGCGGCAGTTCCAGAAGCTGCTCTGTCACCTCTGCCAGGACTACCTCCCTCGCATAGAGCGCGTCACCGCGGGGGGACAGGGAGGGCCGCTCGCGCGCCTTCGCCTCTTCCTGGAGACGTGCGTGAAGTCTGGAGCGATCCCGCCTCCGCCGGGACAGCTTCCCTACAACTTCTGGAATACGTGATGCGGGGAGGAGAGGGGGGAGGAGGGTGGGAGAGAGATGGTAGGGGAATGAGGGAGGGTAGGGGAAGGAGAGAGGTTAGAAGAAAGGTAGGAGGGAGGGGAGCGATGCTGCCTCA